GGAGCTTCATTTGGTGGTTCATCCATCCTAATCACATCCTTATCAAATATTGTCAACTAGTCTTCCCATCCACATCCAAATTTCCTTGATGCCGGACAGACTTTTATGTGTGCGTTATAATGAAGCAATTTTAAAATAACTTTGCGGCAATTTTTTTTTTTGGATAATACTGTAGTTAGCATCAGTGCATGACATGTGGGTAACAACCAGTCTACCAGATTATCCACATTATGAACTGAGCATCATATGTCTACAATTTATTTATGATAATGTATAACTAACTGTTTCACCAGCTTCTAGCAATTTCCCAGGACTTCTATTGATTGCTCAGAGCACATTAATAAATCACATTGTGCCGTTACACATGATCTTCATCATCCTCAACACACTGCACATAGACACCAGCAGCTCACCATGTCAATCTTTGCTGCAACAGAGCATCCTTCAAACCGGCACGGACACCTCGTCGAGCACCATCGAATGGGGCATGGCGGAGCTTCTGAACCACCCAAACGCCATGGCGAAGGCAAGGGTGGAGCTCGACGAGGTCGTCGGCACGGGGCGCCTCCTGGAGGAAGCCGACCTTCCCAGCCTGCCCTACCTCCAGTGCATCATCACGGAGACCCTCCGGCTGCACCCAATCGCCCCGCTCCTCGCCCCACACGAGTCCTCCGCCGCCTGCTCCATCGCAGGCTACGACATCCCAGCGGGAACCATGCTCCTTGTCAACATCCACACGATGCACAGGGATGCGCGTGTGTGGGAGGAGCCGGCAAGGTTCTCGCCAGAGAGGTTTGAAGGCGGGAGGGGCGAGGGAAAGTGGATGCTGCCATTCGGAATGGGGCGGAGAGGGTGCCCAGGGGAGGCGCTCGGCGTGAAGATGGTCGGGCTCGCGCTGGGCACGCTGGTGCAGTGCTTCGAGTGGAGGAGGGTCGGCGACGAGGAGGTTGACATGGCTGAAGGGTCAGGGCTGACCATGCCCATGGCTGTACCTTTGGAGGCTTTGTACTGGCCTCGTGCAGAGATGACACCGGTGCTAAGGGCACTCTAGGAAAGGAACACGGGCTGTTCATTTCTGAGAAAATTCACTAATAAAAGCACAATTTCGGGAGGCAGGAGAATCAGGAAGTTACCTTTGGTATCATCAACTGCTCTTAATCACAAGCAGACCATGTAGAATGTATACTCCAGCACGAGTGGTTCTTAGTTCATACCAGATCACAAGCTGATCATGTAGAATGGATGTTCCGCATCAGTATTTCTTAGTTCGTACCAGATCCAAAACCCTGTTACATAAGAAGAACCAGAGGTTAGGGAGAAGCGACGAAGAAAAACTTTAGACGTGCATGAAGAAAAAAAATACAGAAACTACGAGTGGAGACAGTAGAGTAATGCACCTCAAGCACAAAGAAAATCAACTGGAGCACCTAAACATGATATAAGAAATAAAGTCAGGTATGGCTACTCGAGCATGTCCATGCTTTAATAGCAATGACAAACTCCATAAGTAATAAACTTGGACCGCTAGAACCAGCAAACGTTCGCTGTGAGGCATGGCAATGCGAATGATTTTCATGGCAATTTGTGTTGTCTGCGGCTGGCAAATTTCTTTAGCAAGCATGGCAAATCCACCCGGTTCAGTTTTTTGTCAGAATTTGCCGTGCTTCCTGAAGGAATTTGTCATCCTCATGACAACATAAATTGCCATAAAAAAAGGTTTGTTTTGCCATGCCCTACTAGGGAACGTCTGCACAATAACATTTCCCATAATCTTTATAGTAGAATGAACCGGCTTACCACAGGCTGGTAGTCTGTGGTTTGTTTGGTTTCATATATAAAATGTGGAGCCGGGGCGGGGCCTTATTTTTCAAAAAAAAAAACAGAGGCTGGTGCCTGGTAGAATAGTTTCCAGTCACTCAACTGAGACCAATAAGATGGGCCTCAAGATTGACCAGGACGTACTTGAATGTGGCATGAAGACAGGTAATTTTTCAAATGACACAAATATTGACAGCCCGGGTTTGAGGATTTCCAATCCAATCACCAAATGGATAATATGTGGCTTATTGTCCATTCTCTCCATGGTAGGAAACATTTTTACCTGAAGTCCATTCAACACATCCACAAAGCTTCAGATACAACAACATTCAGCAGCATCAATCCCTAACCACCGGTCCTCTTCTCAAGTCTACACTTACCCAGCGCAAGAGCCACCACCTTACTAGAGAGAACTCAAACCAAACAGCAACTGCCAGATGATCAGGTTGCTTTGCTTCATGGTTCACGTTCAACACAAGCATTGTTACTACCAGGAAGCCAGTGAATAGAGTAGTTCATGGCTGGATGATTCATACTGGGGTAGGGCCATAGGATAGAAGCAAAGGGTTTCCATGATATACTACAGCTCTTGTTCTTCCAGTAGGTCTCCTGTGCCAACGATAGTCACTATCCTCTATGTTGCTTCTGCCATCGTTAATGAATGGTTAGCGGTTGTCATGTCCCCACTCAGTGATGTCAATCCACGTCTGTAGGATGCGATGTTACAGAAATAACGAAGTTAGGGTTAATTTTCAACACATTCATAAACATACCATGTGTCACCGAAGAACAAATGTAATTTTACCCCAAATGAAGGATGCACTCATCTTTGAGGATGAAATAAGGATGCAAACACACACAAGGAATGGATGTGCTTAGGAGGAAGGTGAACAGGACAATAGCAAGATGATATGCCGCATATATCAAAGAGCATCCATTAGGAAGTCCCATTTTATACGGATTTAATCTTAGCTCATGTATCAACATATAGAAGGAATCAAGGCTAAATGCCCCTCATGAAACAACGGATAGTCTATTGATCTATTGTACTTTGCATCAACTGTGCATGTCTATTATCTTAGTAGATACATTCTACTATGTGTTAACTGCAGCAATGTTTGATGCTAGTTGTGGTTTAAATATTATCCTGTCCATTGTGCAAGCTCAATAATTGTGGTTTAAATATCATCCTGTCCATTGTGCAAGCTCAATAGTGGATACATGATAGCTACATAGTACATACCATAGTGTAGCAATGCATGATTAGTACAAAGATTATGTGCTGCTTGAAAGAATTCAAGACAACGATTTCAGTGATTTTCAGTTAGAGATAGCACAACACAAACAGAGTTAAAATGTCTTGTTTTACAAAAATTAGGGGCATTTATTATGTTTTTTTATGTCGCCTCTAAAACCACCAAGATTTTATAGTTCAGTAGAACAAATATTATTTCAGTATCAAAACTACCACAAACATCCATTATAAGACCACATAATACCATCAAACAGAGTCTGTGAACGAGAAGAAAAGGAACAGGAGCAAACTTACCACATCATATACTGAGAGTGACAAAACCGGCAATGATGGGGAAACAGTTGTAGAAATGCAATTCTGACAAACATAAAGCAAGAAATATTCAGCCGGATGTTCCACTCTCATATGCTGAATTCCTTGGGATATGCATGCACCTTGTGATGTCCATAAACTGAAGCCACAATTCACAAGGTGATCACGTTCAGCAAATGCCACTTGGCAGACTTATGCATGAACATACAGAAAAATTAGACATGCTTCATCCAGCAGAAAGAAATCGTAGACAATATTGGTAACGACTTTGTCCTGGCTTCTGTGAAATTATCTGATTAATTGAATGCAGCTATATAGTCTGACATGATAACAAGATTGTCAAGATGGTGAACCCCATTGTTTGCATATCTATTACAGTACACTTCCACATGAGAGGAACAATCTAGTAGAAGCACCATTATGCATGGTTTTCGAGCCCATGACTCATTAGCCTCACTGACTGTCCATTCCTCACCTAGAATATAGATGGCCTTAGTACAAATACTATTAGTACCACTGGCATTTCAGGTAAATGTATATGGAATACAGTACTACACCTTGCAAAGTAGAATTTTTCTAAAGTGTATATGGAAATAAATACGACACCTCAATCTAACAAAAGCACTACATAGTACATACAACATTGAACCTCAGGAAATCTAATGGTTGAAGGCAAAACTCCAACTAGGAACTAATGCATACAGCTGAAATTTGCATGCATCAACACTCGACTGGGCTCGATCAGACCCTAGCTGTGACACATAACTGCTGGTACGACTGTATGGGAACAATGAAACATTAAATGATCCATCCAAATCCTCTTGAATTGGTGTTCGTCAAAAATGAATCCAAGTGAATCCTCTTCTATTCCCCACTTCCAGGGCTGCAACAATTCCCCCATAACAGTTGTACCGATACAAAAATGCTAGTAAAGACAGTGAAGCTGTAAAGAGTGACACATTACTCATGCACCCTTTTCCAGCTCCAATGAACCAGCCAATCCAGAAATCGGTCGTCCATCTACAGTAGAATTTTGCATATCAATAAGAGTTCAATAAAATGTGGTGACATAGAACCCTTAAACCATGTCACGGTTAAGCATCTGAAAGCCAATAAAGATGAAGCCCTTTTGTTCCTTGCATCAACTAGCATGGAATTCAAGAATGAAACAGAATGCTGGTTCTGATTGTGAATTAGATACATTAAACCATGAGATGAAAAACTGAGAAGTGTTCATTAATCAGCAGAAACATTCTTTCTGGCAGTACCCATAACTTCAGTATCTTACAAGATGACGAAAACAACACGTTTTAGATGTGCGGCTGATGATTAGAACTTTGAAACATCCTAACTACTGTGAATTATCTAGCATGAGTTGTTTTCATCATTTTGTTGTGATTCTAGAGCAATCTATAAAAATTTACAGGTTGAAAGATGTACAATTATGAGGACAGAAAATTTTGAGATTCTCCAGAAGACATAACCATACTATCAAACAACACTAGTAATCTAGTATGGCATAACGCTAAACTATATAATGAAATAATCTAGTATGGCATAACGCTAAACTATAAAATGAAAAAAAAAAACAGGAAGAGAGAACAAGCTTACCGCATCAAACACTAGGAAGTGACAGTGATGGGGGAAACCCCATGTAAAGGTAGGCTTCGTTCACAGTAGCAGAACTTATCTCAGTGAACCTACCAACCTGCATAGTCTTGAGATCGAACCAAAAGTATGTGACATTTTGCTCAACAGGATCTCCCAAATTCTGCTTTGGATGATCTAGTTTTATGTATAAGCAGCCCTCAAATGCACCTATGATGCCTCGAAACCGGTCTCCCCATTCCTCGGGCAAGGTGATCTTGTTCTGCAGCTGCCACCGGTCACTGAAATGCATGAACGAATAAAAGTAGAGGACACATCTTTTATCCGCCCTAAAAAGATCCGAAACCACAACGGTTGTCCTGCCTTCCCCTGACTCCAGAGTGGTGATCTGATTACTGAACATCATCGAGCGGCCTGCCAGGACAGGAGAAATGTCGAGGATGGAGAACTCCATTTTGCGGGCGTCCAGCACGAGCCACCTCCGGGTGAGAGTTATCATCCAGTAGAAGCACCCATGGGCATGGTTGCGTTGCCCCAGTCGGACGCCCATGACCCTCCGCATGCTCAGCGCGTGGTGCACCGGCGGCGAAAGCGCGCTCCATTCCCGAGATCCAGAGCAGAAGTAGAACGCGACCAGCTTCCCTCGGCAGCAGGCCATCCAGATGACGGCGAGCGGCAGCTCCTCGCCGCGGTCGTCGTTGCCGCGGGAGGCCAGGAAGATCTCGTTGCTGCGCGACTGGAGCCCCCCGTCGTCGCCGCCGCGCTGGAGGTAGGGGTTGTCCACGGAGGCGGCGAGGGCGTCGGGGATGGGCGGGAGCAGGAGGCAGCGCCGGGAGAGCGGGTCGCAGACGGCGACCTCGGTGAAGGCCGTGG